ATCCCAGGCTGTTGCGCATAGGGAATAGATAGTAAGAAGGTGCCATTTTTCTGTTTCTAATGTTTTAATAAAAAGAAAAGGAGTACTTGTGGCACCTTAGAGACTAACCAATTTATTTGAGCATGAGCTTTCGTGAGCTACAGCTCACTTCATTTTAATGTGTCTTTGAGCCTGTCTGTAGTGTTGTAAAGATGATAATAAGGAACTGAGAGAGCCAGTTTGATGCATGTGTATATACTCATATTTCACATACATTATCGCATCAAGATTTAAAATCAAACATGAAGATCCAATTTCCATTTAGTACAGCTCATCACAGTTTCTCTTGAACATCATTCACTGACTTCATCAGGGTCATTTCTACCTCTTTTACTACATACTGTAGTACCCCCTTTCTACTGACTTTTCTACTGACTTTACAATATTTATTTTCTGGTTGCAACCTAGACTTCACCTTTACAAAGTCAATCATTTTTTGAATATGTACATAATATATTAAGTAACAAAATCACGTATGATGTGATCCTTGGAAGCTACCAGTCAAAACACGGGAACACAGAGAACAAAATGATTGTGAAAACCATGTCTAAACACTGCAGGGAATATGGAAATGGCTAATCTCTGTTAGGACTAACTTTTTTTTTTTAAGTGTTACTCTACCATTAAACAAGCTCTTTTGTTTATATTACCATGACTGAAAAATATCTGCAACAGTCACTTAACCAGAGCTAGAAGCACAAAGTGGAACATTCTCACCAACCACCTGGAACACTAAGGCATTCTACAGTGAATTGCTGTATTTTTATCCACCTAAGAGTTCAGTCCTGTATTCCTTATTCGGGCTACCCTCACATGAAAGTCAATGGGCCAAATATTGAAGTCCTTATTCAGGTGTTACCCCGGGATAGCTCCTATAGTTCAGCTTCCTCCCTTGGTTGATAATGTTGAGCAAGAATTGAGTGAAAGCTAGGGAAGGACTTGAGGATTTGGCCCAGGAGAGACTGCAGAATCTGACCCTAGATTTTCATAGACAGTCATAATGTTACTATTGCTGTGTGCATCTTCGAGGCATTAACTTAGTGCATGGACACACAATTTGGATCAAAATGGCTCCAGTGGTGACCCCTAGTTTTCTTACTTGGTTTGTTCACATTTGTAGAACCATATCACCAAGAAATGTGAAGTAATAATATTTTGGCATGCAAGTATCACTGATTTAAAAATCTGGAATTTAGTTATTAATCCAAAGAAATGGAGTAGAGAAACAAGTAATACAGTAACTGCTGTACTATATCATTATTACGTACTGGAATTGCTAATATAAAATAAACAAGGAATTTATTCTCCAACAGATATTGGGCTGTTTTAAATAAGATACTGAAAACACTGTCATGATTACGTGCACACACAGAGAGAGCATATATGTTAATTATGGATGGCTGTTTCTTTCTATATGAACAGATTTCACATTAAGATCTTTCCCCTTTAAACGATATATAAAAGAGGAAGACAATTCATCTCAATAGAACAAATTTATTCCTGGTTTATTGCCTTTGTAGTCAATGGAGTTATACCACGGCTAGATTTAACCCAATGACTCTAGCTTGTCTTTCCTGCTGGTTCCCATCTCTATAATTAACTTTTACTGTAGTTTCTTGCTATTTATTTATGTAGAGAAGTATTAATATCACTGCGATCATTAGCATCATGGTTTCCCTCAAGCTATCTGACTTCAGCTGATTCCATAGCTTGTGGATCATCTGAGCTCTTTTTTGGCACAAATCGATGACTATTTTAATCTCCCAAGACAAAACTCTCGTTTTCTTTTCGACGCCTCTGGTTTCTTGCAAAACAACAGATTTTCCTAGGTGTGGCTGTCTACTGTTAAGGTTGCCAGACGCTTTCCATTGTAGGGTCATATTTACAATTGCTTACAACTTTGCCAAAATATAACCATGCAAAAACAATGAGGAGTCCAGTGGCACCTTACAGACGAACAGATTTATTTGGGCATAAGCTTTCGGGGGTAAAAACCCCCACTTCTTCAGATGCAACCATGCATATAACCATATGCAACCATGCATATAACCATGCAGATCTTTAGATGCAACCATGCAGAAATTTTCCATGCCGGGCGTCTGAATGAGGCTGATTTTTTGGTTTAGCTGTTTCCAAGAACAAGGCTAGGAAAAAATATGTTGTGTTGCCCATGTTAAAAAATCCTGATAACCTTTTCTTTAAGAAATGCTAGTGACCCCAGGCTCTGGAGGAGGAACATGAAATTTGGCCTGGATGTTTCTTTATTTTAGGGATGTATCTTTTGCTGTTCCTGTAAATATCCATCCAAATTTAGCCAAATTATAAGCCATTGAAAAAAATCTCAGTTTGCACATGCTCAGAAGAGACTTACAGTTTAGCAGCTAAAATCTAAAATCTAAATCTAAAATCTCCCAAGATTCTGTCATAATTGAGGCTCCATCCCCTCACAGATCCTAGTGCTGACCAGACTGAACATGCACTAGGCTCCAGTCCAGGGCTAAAAGGGGGAAGCTGGACTTTCCCTGTACTGGCTATTGTGGGCCAGGCTGGGGCTGGGCACAGAAACTGAGCCTGTCTCTCCTGTGCTCTCAATGACCTGCCCCCCCCAGGCAAACACCCAGGCAGCATACAAGAACAAGACATCTGATTTGAAAGCAGAGGGGACAAGAGACAGATCAGGAGGGAGGGAAAGGAGAAGACTGGGAGAAAAAGCCTAGTGAAACTGGGATTGGAGTGTGGGGGTAGAGAAACTTGACTGGGAGTAGCAGGACACTGGGAGCTGACTGGTCAAAGAGCCTGGGACTGGAAGCTGGTTGGGAGGAATGGCGGTGACTGACTGGTCAAGGAGACCGAGACTGGAAAGCAGGGGTGGGGAAGGAAGGCTGGGACTGATAGGCAAGAAGACAGGGACTGGAAGCCACTGAGGGAAATGAAGGTGGGTTCGTGGGAATGAGCAGGAGCCAGCTGTGGGGGAAATACTGCAACTGCTCATGGAGTTGGGGCAGGGGAAGAGACTGGGACTGGCTGGACAAGGAGACTGGCATTGGAAACCACTAGGGGACACTCCATCCGGTTAACAGTTTGCTTTTTTTAAAAAAGTTTGCTATATCTCCCCAGGCCATTGTGGGCAGGGAGCACTGACGCAAGAACATGCTCAGTCCTGTGGGGAAGGTAGCACCTCACAACTTTGAACAGAGGCTACTCTAGTAGCTTGAGAAGCTAGCTATGGTGAGTTCCAGTGGAGACTCATCCAGTCAGAAGACAAGAAGAGTGTTGCTGTGACATTTGGCCTTGAGAATAATGGTATGAAGCAGGTAGAATTGGTGGGATCCTCAGGTTTTGACAGATACACAGAGACCAATCCAGGGAAACAAAGGGCTGCCTCTGCCCCTGTGTGACTTTGGGCAAGTTACTTAATCTCTCTGGATGAACTCCTTGTCCTATTGAAGACACTGGGAGTTTTAGCACTGACTTCAACAGTGTCAGGTCCCCATCTGTAAAACAGGGACAACAGATGATTCTTTTCTCTCACACTTTGTTTGTTTATCTATTTAGATTTTAAGTTCTTCACGTACAGTGCCTAACAATTTTGGTTGGGGCCTGTAAGAACCACTGCAATAAAAGGAAAGAGCAATAATAATTCAGGGACCGTGCGGTATGGATACAACAATGAAATTAGCATATTTGTCTACAGTACACTGTATATGGGCCAAATTCTGATTTCTGCTACTTGGGAGGAATTCCCTTTGACTTCTGTGAGAACTTAACCATTGCAGCTGAAAGCAGAATTTAGTCCTGTGTGTATATGTTTCTTATATAAACAAAGCAGGAAGGAAAAGGGGTCTTAGATAATCATCACAAAAATGGTCTTGACATTTTTAACACTGCTGCCAAGAATAAAACTGACAAAGCCTTAGACTCTGGGCTATACCTGAAAGCTTACTCTTTCCTGCACTACCGCCAGATTCAATGCAGATTTGTTTGTTTGCATTTGAGTGTATCTTATCCTCTTCTGTCACAAAAAGTTTAATTTAAAGGTGTATGGAAAGGGGAAGTCAGAACGGTCATCAAACTGTCCCTGACATGATCGGCCTACGATTGGCATCTAACCACTGTATTGACACAGACAGGGAAGCCCAGTGGATAGAGTACTAGACTTAGAGTCAGAAGATCTGTTTTTTACCCCTGGCTCTACTACTGACTGACTGTGACTGGGTACAAATCAGCTATTCTATAACTCAGTTTCACAGAGTGTCAAATGAGATACTACTTGACTTTGTAAAGCACTTAGGGATTTATGAATGAAAATTGCTACATAAGTGCTAAATATTTTTATCTAACTATGTTGCTCATTTTAGATCAAAATTTACCTTTGTCCCACTTGGACATCATTATCATAGCTCAGTAGTAATTCAGAATATTGCTATGAAGTGTTAGGATTATTATTCTGTAGATGGTCAGTTTTGCTGCTAGTGGATATCTGCTGGCTGCTCAGACAGACCACTGCTTTAGTTGTCTTAATAAATGAATCACCACAAATGACTACCTTGTAAAGAGTTAAAACTGTGTCTTAACTTCAGCTAATGTTCAAGCTTTCAGTTAAAATAAATTATTCACCATCATCATCTGGGCTACATTTCGAATAGTCCTTTCTGCTGAACATTCTCTGTCCTTACATCAGTCACACAGAGTCTGGAGGAAGAGAAAGGGGGTAAAGCATGCACAGTATATACAACAAAGACAAGGCTGCTTTCTGTTAATTGCTATGAAACATGTGTTGCCCAAGGCAGAATGGAGATCAGTAGTGTCAATTATGTTACAAAAGAGTACAGCAAACAGAAATAATGCACTGACTTATGAAACAGATGTAGCTGCCTATTTATTATCTAACAGAATCATTCGCCATAATTCACCTTCTACCCTCAGCAGTGTTAGGTCTCTTTCACTATCAACGAACCCACCAATTGGTGCAAGAAACATTCCAGGTCTCCAGTTCCATGAGATGTAGAAACAGATTCTCCATCAGAGTTGAGAAGATGCTGTAAATAAATAACTGAACAATGAGGGGCCTCTGGCACATGCTCTTAGGAATCAAAAGAGCCAGAGAAAAATAATCTCACACAGATCAGGCTGCAGCATTTAATAATACCCGCCAATCTGCCTATTCATTGGTCTGTCTAAATGACGCACCAAATATGGAAAACAAATGCAAGAGAGCCTGCTTACAGTAAACTTGGAGGATACCGAAACTCAGTTTAACATGAAATAGACCCTCCTGATTCAGTGCCTTGTAATGTCTGGTTGTTGTGAACTGCATGCTTAGAAACATAAATCTAGTGGTCTGCTCGAGTATGTTGGCTGTGCACCGAGGATGAAGACTATTCCCCACTGGCTGTACAGTGGGATGGGGCTGCTTCATGGAGGCTGCTCTAGTCTGGTGGCTCAAATAGTTTTTATGACCGTCCCCTCCCCTCCCTGGTGAAGCTGGAGTGGGGTAGCAGGATCAGAGGTTCTGTGCAACAGATGATTTTCTGACCCCCTTCCATCTCTGCCCAGCCCTGGATTATGTAATATCATGAGGCCTTGAAGAACTCTCCAGGCAAGTGATGCTCACTATTTCAAACCCATTCCTCCTCTCTTTGTGGGTTCTTTAGCCAGATATCCCTCAGCACCCATGGAAGAGAGGGTAGGTTTGCTATACTGAAGTGGTTAAGAACGAGATGGTGCTCCTATAATAAAGGCTCATCTCATAGCTGGAGAAAGAAGAAGTCATCCCTAAAGGAATCTGCCAGTGTGAAGCCAGGTGAGTTTTCTGTTCTTCTTGCTTTTGAGCAGAAGAGTTATTTGCACTCGAGTGTTCTCCATATGTGGCTTGCAACAGGGATTCAGTTTAACTGAATGAGGAGGTGCTAACTGTATGGTAACACTAGCTGCAGCCCAAAGGATGGAGAAGGTACAGGGATGTGGGAGATCTTCAGCCTAGTCAAGTAGGAGCAGAATGCCAGCCTCGCAGATAACTAATGCCTCACAAGCAGAGCTCCTAGTGACCGAGAGCACAGGAGTCTTCTCTTTCTTTCAAGTGTGCGTGAGCAGTTGGAGCAGTTGGGGCCTACTAGGAGTTGTTCTGCATCGCCAGAGTGCAGAGATGTTCTGGCTACATAGCCCCTTCTCCTGGAACACCCTCCATGCTGGGGAAGCCAGGGACAGGGGGCACAGAGCAAGAGGAATATTCAGGCCACCAGATCAGCACAAAGGAGATGGCAGGAGGTGCCAAGATCTGACTTGGATTAACACCTAAAATCTTGTTAATCAGCAAGGCAGCACACTTTAAGGGTGACGATGAGTGACAATATACCATTAAAGTGGAGGTATATGTTCTGGCTCGCTGTCATAACAAACTCAGTAAGGTCATTTTTATTCCACTTGACAGAATATGGCTAAGTGGGAAAACACTGTGGTCAATAAATAGCATTGTTGAAAATGAAGTGGCTTGCAAATAAAATAGATTAACCCTTCAACTAAAAGCTAACATTAAGAAAGGTCCATTTAAAGTATCTTGAATATTGTCTGCGGAAGACGCATCATATAACATGGGGAATGGCAGTATTAGCATCTTAACCTTGCCAGCAGAGCGGTGGTTTCTGTGACTGGGGCACATATCCACAGGAAATGGTCTGATTCCACCAAACTCAATGATCAACAGAGAGTAAGTGTGTTTGGTCACTACCGAGTTGGGGCCTGGCCCTGCCAGCTATTGAGCACCCAGAGCTCAGCACCCTGCAGATGTTCAGCAGCTTGCAGGATCGGGGCCTGAATGAGCATGGATTTGAACTAGTGACTTAGAACTGAAAAGCAACGTTGTCTGTTGCTGAGAGTAGCAGCACTGACCATGCTGCAGTGAGGACTACAGAGGTGTGAACTGCAGCATGCACCAAAAGGTTGCGCTCTATCTGCCCCATGTGGATCACAATATCTGGTGATACCCAAGACACTCGAAAGAGGTAAGCAGTGAGAGGGCAGGCAGTACAGCCTAGTAGGTAGGCACTGGATTGAGACTCAAGAGATCTGGGTTTGCCACTGGCCTGCCGGGTGATCTTGGGCAAGTCACTTCGCTTCCCTGTGCCTCAATTTTCCCATCTGTAAAATGGGGATACTGACCTCCTTTCTACTGAAAAACATTATATGGGAGCTAGATATTACAATATTACCTGGAGGAAATATGCTGTCTCAGTGACAGGGAGGAGAAAGGATACTTGCTCTAGAAATGTAACAAATTGCTTAATGCACTGGAACTACAGGAGTTGTACTTCCCTAGAAGAACTTCTGCCAAATATAGGACTAGATATGTCATAAGTCACTACAGTAGTGAAAGTTCCCCAGGAGGGGAGCCTTCAGACCTCTTGTGAGAGACAGATTGCAGAACAGGAAGCAGTACCTCTCCTGGAGCATTCACTGGGGGCAACCCCCTCTGCAGTGCCCCCCAGTTCTGGCTGCACTCAGCAGGGACTAAATGAGGGTGCTGTCATGAATCACGTTAGTGTTAACTGTTTGCATGAGTCAGCATGAGGGTGATGAACACATATGTGAATGCACGTGAGAAAGTTAGTTGTGTGAACTGTGAGATGCTGGGATGTGCAGGACACGGAGCAACCTGCGTTCTACTAAAAACTAGTACGAGTCAGCCTACAAGTGGGTGTGCGTGGGTGCAAACAAATACAAATGCAGGAGTGTTAAACTGTCCTGGTTGACATGACACATACGATACACGCGTGCTCAGATCTAATCAGGGCATCAGGAAAGCCAGTTAGCCATAAGAAGAAGGAAGAATGAGATCCAGAGCTGCACTACTTCATGCAGATGTCATGAGAGTTCCTTCATTAATGGGTGAAATGTACCCCAGCAGAGGGATGTCACAAGTGCTAAACACCACTTACTGCCTATTTTGAGGGCTTAAATGGGACTTCAGAGGTGCATAGGTCTTCTGTAGAGGGGTGAATTTCACTCTTCTGCTTGTAAAGCTGTTTGAGATCCTTGCATGAGAGACACTAGAAGCACCAAAGGTTATTACTACTATTAAAATTATTCTATTACCAGTCCCTTGAGTCACCCAGCCCCCTCTTTACTGCTCTGTGAAAAGGCTAAAATGCCAAAGTAATCATCCTGGCAGGAAGTCCAGCAATGTAAAAATAATACCCTTTCCAAGCAAACAAACAAAAAAACCCACAACCCTTTGAAGACTGGTTTGAAAAGCAAATGATATATTGCTTACAAACAACTTGGCTCATAAACCAGAAGCTACACAACACACAGGGCTCCTTCCAGAGTGCTGTTCCCCTGCTTAGTTGAGTTGATGCAGGTCTACTCTTAGTTGTACTACTTACTTCTTCAAAGGCTGAAGAAAGTAGCAAGTATTTTTTAGTCCTGCTCAATGCTAACCTGGGCAGGGAAGACAAAAACAAACAAAACCCAACAACAACAACTCGGGTTTCACCAAATGCAAGGGCCTTATCAATATTTAAGGCAAGACTAATGCAGAGCAATTTGCTTTGTTTGGAAACACCCTGGCAGTGTTTGCATTAAGAATGCATGGTGTCTAATATGGAACATGTGTTCGGTGAGGATAATAAAACACTTGAGCTGGGACGTCAGGAGAGCTGAGCCACCTCCTCCTTTCTGCTGCCTGGAAATTGCTTTATAGTTTATTACTTTAAGTGATAGAACATGATAAAACAGGTGGGCCTGGCACATTAGGATGTTTCACACCAGCCATCTGTCCAGAGAATGTACACATCAAGGGGAAAAATGTGTGAAAACCACCAGCAGTAATGCAGGCAGGCAGGATTCTTAAACATCAGCAAAACTGGGGCCTAATCCAAAGCCCATTGAAATCAATGGGAGGCTTTCCTTTGACTTCAGTAGGCTTTGGATGTGGCTCTAGATTTCTCTCAAACAAAAGCTAACTATAAATTAGTTTTCTTATTAATGTTCAGGATTATACAGTGCAATACGTGACAGCGTGTCACATAATGTGCAGAAAAAGTCTGGGAGCTTTGCTCAGGGAGTCCTGCAGACTTTTTGGGGGGATGGGGGGGCAATCTGTTTGAGACCTTAGGCTAGACAGAGACAGTCTGCTCAGGCAGAAGTTGATCATGACTCTGAGGCCTGGTCTATACTTAAACTTAGTTTGACCTAACCCCAACTGTAGACACAGTTAGGTCAACAGAAGAATTCTGTGACACTGTAGTGTCGACACCACAACGACGGAAGGTGTTTTTCCTTTGCCATAGTAAACCCACCTCCTTGAGAGGTGGTCGCAAGGTTGACGGAAGAATTCTTCAGTCGATCTGGCTGCGCCTACAATGAGGGTTAGGCTGACCTACCTATGTTGCACAGGGCATGAAATGTTTCACAGGCCTGAGCAATAGCTAGATTAACCTAATTTTTAGGTGTGGACCAGGCCTAAGGCAGAGTGTTCTACTTCAACCCTCAACTAGACCTACCTCACTGCCAGTTCTGAGAGAACAGCCGTTCCCCAGTAAACAGCCAATATCCCCAATGAAAGATATTACTTCACCCACCTTGTCTCTCTAGCCATTCCCCTGGCAGTTCTCCTGCCCTACATAAGTGGGATCATATAGAGCAGGGGTCGGCAACCTTTCAGAAGTGGTGTGCCGAGTCTTCGTTTATTCACTCTAATTTAAGGTTTCGCATGCCAGTAATACATTTTAATGTTTTTAGGTCTCTTTCTATAAGTCTACAATATATAACTAAACTATTGTACGTAAAGTAAATAAGGTTTTTAAAATGTTTAAGAAGCTTCATTTAAAATTAAATTAAAATGCAGATCTTATCAGTTTAGTGTGATCCTTGCCCTTGCTTTTCTTTGCTGAGTTTTCCAATGTCTGGCACATATTTGTATACTTTAAGCTGCACACAAGCTTCTGAGTGATCAGTTGTTAACCGGCTCCGAGAGGGACAGAGGACAGATTTCATGTGTGAAAATATCTGTTCACACAGGTATGTAGATCCAAATGCTGAA